AACAACACCTTAACATCACGTTTTACTTAAACAGGAGGATGAAGTTTGTATTTGTGCTATCGCTGATGCTGTGTTACAGTTCAGCTCAGAGTGCTGATTCAAGTGAGTATATTGTACAGTCCAACCTATGTAAGTGATTACCTTTCGTAAGCGAGCATCTAACCAAAACACCAAAACTTTCCCAGTGAAAGCCCTACAGTTGGTACCTCTAGTAAACGACCACCTCTTGTAAGCGACTGCGACCAGTATTTGGGTCTGACGGTTTAATGATTTCCATTGGTTTAACCTCTTTTAAGCGACCACTTCATGGTCTTTCAAGCATTGTCTGATCTCTATTTTGGCAGTGTGTACTATGCTAATAGGAATATACGGAGAACTTTAGCAAAACATGGAACTACACACTTGCAATACCTTATCTTCCATGAAAAAAGTTGTTTACGGACATCTTCACCTTCACCGCGTTTTTTGGGGGTTCTCTTGTATTTTTATCGCGCAGAATATCATGACTACGCCTCTATTTTTCTCCTGTCCGTCCACCCAATCAGCTGACATTGAGAAAGCAGAAACTAGTGTTTAACTATCAAACATCTCGCAAATTTTCTTGTTTAAGTTGTTTTTTTGGCAATTTTCGTGATCCACCTATCGTGTTCAAAAACTCAATCACCCTAGGTCAGATTTGATTTCAGGTGATACCCTGTAAGTTGAGTACGACATTGCATTTTTAAACCTGTGGGAAAATAGTGGGATTTAGGAAATTCGTGTTAATTAGTTATTATGTCATCTAAAATTTTTGAAAAAGCAAAAACCGTAGAAAAAAGAACATTGAGGGCGACACCTCAAAGTTCTCTATTGATTAAGAGAACACAAGCAAGTTGACGTGTAAAATTACAATCTGAATTGTAGGATGTGGTTCTGTGGTAAACAACACCTTGACAAGTCCTGGATTTCCAAGAAAATACCCAAATAACATGCACTGTGTGTACAACGTTTCTATTCCATCAGGAAAGGCACTGAAGATCAGTTTTTCAACTCTTGAACTGGAATGCGGGTGAGTAATTTTTTAACAATAGAGAGATTTAGAGTCACTGCAAACGGCAAACGTTAGATTCAAGTTGAGAATATCTCAAATAAAAAATAGCGGGTAAAAACAGCTCAAATCAATTCTTATGGATAAAACTGGCGTGAAACAATTTAATTAACTTTTTTGTAGAAGTCATGAACCGTTAACGTCAAGAAAAGGAAAAACTTGGTCACGTGGTACAGATTCACTTTTGCCATTTAAAGTTAACGTGACAGATGACAAACAATTGAAAACCACTTAACTGACTCGGCTTTGGTAAGAGTAGAATAGAAACGTAACTTGAAGTAATACTTGTTACTCTAAAACGTAACATTTTAGCTGGTCAAAACATACTCACGAATTCCGACGTTCGGCTTGTACGCTGCAAGTTTGCGGATCTGTGATTTTAGGCCTAGAAATAAGACAAAATCAGGCTTCTCAAAACCCAGGCCAGGCAGGTAAGTATATCCCGCCGGGAAAAACACCGGCCAATGAGAATAGCCCTCTAATGTTAAAATTAAGAATGTAAGAAGAAGAATGTAAAACACACTGATACTCTTTAATCGTTTTAATACTCTTTAATTCTTAAAAGAATTAAAGAGTATTTGCCAGTAAATTAGCAGTCTGGTCGACATGGCGTGAAAAATAGATTTCGCTCATTTCTTGTGCGTTGAAAGACTTTCATGTACCTGTACTTAACGGCCCCAATCCGCTAGACTGTATATTTAAAACTCTCGAATTTTTGAGACAATTTTGGTTCACCCCATCGAACGCTCGCGTTGCGGGGCTTAATTCAAGGCTGAAAATCAACAAAACTTTGAATGTTGATTTGGAAAGTAATAGTAATTATTAGATAAAAGAAATAACACAAAAAGCCATCATAATTCCTTTGACATAACACAGCGTTTTCTGCCACAACAAACACAATTTAACGCCATAGCAAGATTTTAACGATCCCCTTCCCGCACTGTTAGATTAAGTGGAGCCAAACCACCCCCAAAATGGGGTCCCTGAAATGTGTCATTTGCTCTCGGATAAAAAATTGAAGTAGAGTAACACATATAGAAACGATGATATTTTGTGAAAGATTTCTTCCGAAAAAGATATAATTTCTACGATTTCTTCGATTCTTTCTTCTCCTAAAATACTGCGTAAACAGTGCATTCATTAGCCATTGACCAGGTGACAGCTCTTACGTCATCAGTATGGTATTTCTGTTGTTTCGGCGCAGACGGCTCTCTCTCAAAATGTTCCTAGCGGCAGAGAGCGATGGGAGTCGGCTGTTTCGCAGCCTAATGAACAAAATTCATAAACTATTATTTACAAAATCGAATGTTCGTTGCTGGTGCTCGTAGATAGGCTCAAAAGGTGTAGAGACTTCTCATTGGCTAAACCGAGATCTGACCAATGATATGGTTTTCGATCTGGAAAATGCCATAGCTTTTTGAAAATCCAAATTAAGATTTCACGCCTCAAGGCTTTTACGTGAGTTGAGATGAGTGAAATCCCTTTTACAGGCCTTTGTCATCTGCATGTAAGTAGGTCGAAAGCAAGAGAACATAAAAGCCTTTTGTTTAACGTTAATTGCCATTTGTAGACTGCGGCAATTCGACTGCTCGGGAGTGACTCAAGTGCAACATAAAATGAAAGAATTTGATCGGCGGCTTGATATTCCGCAGAAACGTTTAGAGTTTCGTTAACTCCACCACAAAGAACGACTCGCAATTAGTTGAGGCAGGAGAACATAAAAGGCTTTTATATTCTCTTGGCGGTTAGGGTTATTTCTATGAATTTAACTGCCCTTGAAAAGTAAAAAACATAATTTTTCCCTTCTAGGTATGATTATTTGAGGATTGTAGATGATAACAACAGAGCACTTGGTACATATTGTGGGAGCGAACTTAGTGGGAAGGTAGTTTTGGTCAATGGAAACTACGCATTAATAACATTCCGCTCTGATGGTTCTATTCAATACCAGGGATTCCAGCTCACGATATTATTTACTGAAAATGGTATGTTCAAATAAGAAGGGATTCTTTCATAAAAAGTAAATAAAATAAAATAAAGAATATAAGTAAGTTGACATTCAGGTAAGATGTCAAAGTTGATGTTTAGAGGTCAAGGTGAGGTGCGCGGCATTTTTGAGAAAACTGATAAACAAACAATACAACTAATATTGATAAAATAGGCAAAATTAGAGGTAATTTCGGCCTTTTTTTTGCTGTTAAGCAAACTCTAAGTCTGACTAGGAACACTATACAATCTTTCATTCGGGTTTATGCTGTAGTGCAGTATTTCTTAACGATTTCGCAATTTTTTTTTAAACTGTGCTCTCAAGATTATTAGATCCTGATATGGGGGATTGAACAAGATGGTACTGAGATTTTACTGCATAGTACTGATGTTTGACCGTATTATACGTCTTTCTCCGAGAGAAAGTGAGAAAAATGTTCTTTCCAGTAGAATGCAAAACAATCGGGTTTTTTCTCGAAATCAGTAAAGAAATCGGTAAAGCGTGGCGTAAGAGTCTTAAGAGCGACTGTCTGTAAATATCGACCAAAATCGACTTTTTGTGGCACAAGTTCCAAATTCGAATTTCCCTCATTTTTGGCTCATCGATAACCCTTAATGAGTAATGAAACATGCTGTAGTTAGTTTTCCCAAGTAACGTATTCTTTTGTTAAAATTCGAGAAAACTCATTTTGCCCGTTCGGAGCTCAAAATCCACTTCCGGTAAAGCGAAATTTTACACAAATTCCATTGACTTGTACGTCGAACCACAACGATTTGGCAGCCTTTGTAGAACACGAATAGTTTTTATGACCCTTTCTTTCTTATAAGACGATAAATTTATGAAAGCTGTAATAAGTTTGTGGCCAAAAAGGTATTGTTAAAAATAGGCCCTATTGACAATTTCTACCGTTCAAAATTATAGGGTTAAAATAATGTAAATTTTTACAATGCGCTATAACTTAGAATTTCGCAAATTGACTTTCTACTGCTTAACTAGGCCCCAATATATCAGAAAATCGAAACAAATCTCTGGGCAAACGATTTTAACTAGCCCGCAAGACGCCG